CTGGATGACCCTTCTTTGCAAGTAATCCTAGATGCACACAAGGAAGTGTGAGTCACTCTCTTAAACCTGATCCAGGTAGAGGGGTTGAAAGATGGCAGACGGGCATGCAAGTGCTGCTGCTGCTGTGAGGAGATCACTGCATGTGGGCTGTCCTTCCCAAAGGGTGCCAGTGTCTTGCTGGAACATGCAGAGGCAATGCCTGTAACGACTGGTCTTGCCACATACACCAGCATCTGGTCACCACTATTCAGACAGCACTGCTGCTGCTGCTGCCCCGTGAGAGATGAATCAACAGAAAAAGTGTTTTCTGCTGTGGATATCTAGCTAAAGTTCTTCTTTGTCTCTTCCCTCCCCTGCTCATGTTAGCACAAAGGCTGGCACTGAAATGTCTGTTGGAATAAATGTAATGTGGTGGATTGGATCTGGTTCTGATCCTTGTATGTGAACCCTATGGTAGATAACAAATGTGTCACTACACAGAATTTATAGGGGCACAAGCAGGCCTAGATCCAGGTTACATACTGCCTCCAGCTTCTCTTTCTCTACTTTACCTTGCTCTGCCTTCTTTTGACTTTTATCTTCTCTCTTCCTTTTTCCCTTATGCCAGCCCTTGTTGAAGTGAATAGCCTCCTTTCCTGCTGTCAGTGCCAGTTTAAAGCATTGGGGAACCCACATGGCCTCTTTCTAAGCCTGTTGTTATTTTCTTTTATCTGTCTTATCAAGCCCCTGTCTCTACTACAGCAACTTTGTGTGCTGCTCTGCTGGCAAAGCCCTCTCTGGCAGGCTGCGAGGGGAAAGGTTTCAGCCAGTGTTGTTGTTTTTTGCTGTCACAGCAAACGTAAGCAAAGCTGAGGAAAAACTACCTTCTGTTAACTGATAAAAGTGAGGGGGATGTGAATGTTTTACACCCTGAACTGGCACAGTTCTCTTGTTCTGCAGTGTGCCCCTGCCTGTCCTTTATACTGTCTTTGTAGTATAAACTGGACCCTATTTTGTCTTTGAGAAAGGACCCATTATATGCCTCCTATTTGTACATTGCTTAGCACAACTTAGGCTGCTCCTGAAGTACTTAGCAAAGCAACCATGACTAGCCATTTGCCCTTGCTGAAGGGCTCAGTGTGCTTTGTCACTCTTATAAGGCAGGCACTTAGATTTCTTGAGCCATTATGCTCAGTGATGGGCTGCTGCTCCTTATGGGATGCTGGTGGGGGCTGAGCTGCTTTGTACTTGTGTAATCTTTAAGTATGCAGAAAGTGAGTAAAATATTGTTGGTTCTGAAAAGGAGAAATTTAGGTTGGGTTAGCATACTGTACACCAGGCTGGACTCTACAGAGAGAGGGAGAGAAAAACATACTTTCATACTTTTTATATAGTGCAGATGCGTGTATTTATTTGTGTGTGTGTACAGACTTTTTTTTCCAGAAGGCCAGATTGTACCATACTTAGTAGTGAGCAGTATGGGTGTAGGCATATGGGTGGAATCAATCTGCAGATGCCTTAACCTGTAGGGTGGGACAGGACTTGTGTCCTCCCCCAGAGCCCTAGTCTTTGTTGCAGCATGCCAACCTGCCCCAGCACGGACTTGGTCCCAGGGCTGCCTGTTCCACCCCAGTGAGGCTCAGGGCTGTGCTGCCTCCATGGGCCTGTCAGGTGCCCTTTGATGGGAGCTGGGGCAGTGGACCCACTGGAACATGGTTTGGATTAGGCTTCCTGACTAGAAGCACAGGTCCAGCCATAGTAGTCATGCGTTCCTAGGTTGCCTCTGCGCTGCCACAGCAGCCTCCCTGGAAGTCTTAGTAGTTGGTCTTACGTGCAAAGAGATGGGGCTTCACATCTTTTTTTTTTCTCACAAGGAGATAGTGGTGATGGCAATAGCCTGGCCTGGCCCAGAACGGCATGCGTAGCTCTTCTGCCAGCATTGCCAAGGAGTTTTTCCTTGTCATCTCTTGGGAAATGGATGCATGGGACCATCCTTTGGGCTGCCATTTTATAAAATTATTTTCCAGCTCCTTTCTAAGCTGCTTAAACTCTAAGAATCATACAGCTGTCAGAGGCTGGGATACATAAATGTTCTGCCTTGAAAAGGAAAGTAAAAGACTTCCTCAAGCACAGTGGGTTGCTAACTGCATTCCAGGAAAGCCCAGTAGCATCCAGCTGCACTGTGCACTAGAGGAGAGAGGATTTATGTTCCTGATTGCAGACTGTGTGGCTCAGATAGCAGATCCTGTGTGGAAATGAATGTCCAGGTGTGAGGAAAGTACATGGGTGGGAGGAAGCAGTGTGAGGGTGTAGCCTGTGCCCAGTCTTCACTCCCACTGGGACAACAGCACTGAGGGCTGGCTTTGTGCCCTGATGGGACAGCTGGGGCTGCCTGGGTGGCCACTGCCACCAAGTGCCTGCATGTCCCTCAGGTGAGCGTGGGAAGCTGGAGGAGCAGGTTTCCAGCCTTCCTGACAGGTTATGCTGCAGTGAAGGTGGCGATGGGCTTGGCAGGGTGGGTGCTGCAGCCCTTTCTAAGCCAACTTCAGTCACCCTGCATGAGTAAAAGTGCTTCCCATGAACTGAATTCCTTCCCATAGAGTGTTTTTCTAGACTTCACCAAATACAGAGGCTTTGCATATTGCTATGTCTCTGTTTTGAGGCTAGCAGATACTTTAATAAACCAGGAAGGAGTAGCTTAGATAGCAGAAATAATTTAATACTTGTTAGCTGACTGTTTAAACTGACAGCAAGATGTGGTGCTCTGATGGCCAGTGAAACAGAAAAACCATTCTCCTGAGAAAGCAAATCTGAATTATTTCCACTATCACAGCAGGGTGCATTGCAATGGGCTGGGATGTACCATGACCTGTCAAAATGAGTGAGTGAAAGCAGGAAGTCATTCAGTTTGTTTTCATGTGTATGAAGTGAGCAGATGGGAAATGGAGAAGGGCTGTATACTCTCAACACTTGCTCACTGTATTAAATGAGGCATTTTTCTGCTTTTTTAGCAGATTTAAGTTTTTAAGAAAAAAAAAATTGGGCCTAAGGCAACAAATTTATTGAGGATATATGGCTATAGCATTCTCAGTTTTGGTGTTATCAGTCTGTTGTACATGTGCATTATTTTAATTCTATAGTTAATTATATAATTATAAAGGCTTTACTGCTCTTCTCTGGACACATGAATGATTTCCTCATGCCCTTACCAACTAACTTCTAGTATCTTCCACATGGTGATGCAAACCAAACTTAAACCAAATGTTGCTGTCATCTGGAGTAGTTGCACTATGGATAATCTCCTCCTGTTATACACCATAAACTGTACATGAGGCTACCCTGCATCTCCTTTTAGGTATTCCAGTTCTTCTGCTCAAGCATGATTTAAAGGTTTGGTTATGTTGCTGTACAGCAGTGAAGCATCTCATTCATCTGTGAAAAGTGCATGCACTAGGAGGAAAGCCTTGTCTCTTACTTTGATAGAAAGGATGTAGCTGTGCTCAGGAAGTGGCATTATATAATGGCAGAAAGTTGTCAAACACTGATATTTAATGAATGCTCCTATTTGATATTGGTCTGACAGCTACATAGCTTTATACACTCCTTACCTAAATATGTGTCAACATATGCACGTTTTTAAGCATGACTTGTAAAAGTAATCGGAAAATAAATTTTCAGAAAAATTCATTTCAAAACTAGTGTAATATCACACACTGGGGCTAATATCTGTGTAAGAAGTGACCTTAGTTATACCATCATTCTCAACACTGCTTGGTTGGTTGCTACTGTGAGTTACATTTAGGTTTGTTTCTGTACAGGAGATTAAAATATGGATCTACAGCTACTTAAACTCTGGTTTCTTGTGAATAGTTTTAGTAGTATCAAATCCATTTGAAGTGGACATTTAAGGGAAACCCTTATGAATTTTTGGGGAAAAAACAGGTATTTGTCAGAAAATGGCATTCACTGGGCAGCTCTGCACTCTTTCTGAGTTGTTAGCCAGCACTTGGCAATTACTAGCAGCTGTCAGGGCGGGAGGAGATAAGTGAGGGTAGAGGAGATCTGTCAGCTAAATCATGTCATGTGAGATGGGCCTTTGACAGCCTTCTTTCTGAAGAGCAATGTTACAAAGCCAAGGTGGTAAAAAAAGGCAGTATTGAAGTTTTAGGTGGTACTTAGAAAATATTTTTTCTTTTGAAATTGGCACTTCAAAAGGACACTGAAAGCAGTAACTTAATTGATCTGGCAGCCAGCAGATGAGTATTACAAAGCAAATGCACTTACTTAGTTACCGGCTGCCTGTGTCTTTTCCCCCTGCCCTATAACACTTTCCCATGTTAACTTTATTGTGGTCCAAGAAGGAAAAAAAACTAAAAGGGAGGATGGAAAAGTTTAACACAATTCTGCTGTCATCTACCACCATTCTTGTACAGGGTCTCTCTTCCCCATAAGAAAATTAATATTAGAAATATATGATTTAGAGTAGCTCCAAGTTTCACATTTTGCTTCTTTTTCCAAGGTAGAGAAAATGATTCATTTGTTACACAGAGCTCAATTCCAAGTCCTTTTTAGTTTTGTCTTTTTTTCTTTTCTTTTTATTTTTTATTTAATCTGAGAGAATTTGTCCCAATAGCTTCTTTCTGCAAAGCCTGTTTATTCTTCCTTTAGGTGCAGCAAGACGAATGCATTCTTTCTCAATTGTCTCCTCAAACTTGCCAAGTTTTTGCTTTGCCGTCTTTGCAAAGCAAATGTTAATGCTTCTACCCTAACGTGAGCCAGGATGTGCTGCTGTGGTTTTGCAGTACCAGGCTGCTGATGCACAGAACCATAGAGATGGGAAGGTAAAAAAAGACTGAAGAAAGGAAGGGTGCCTTCCTGATCAGTGTCACAGTCCCCTAGCTTTCATTTACAGCATTCAATACCAAATAAGAGTGATTAGAAAGGCAAACAGGAAAAAGTACCTTTTTCAGGGAGGTTCTGCTTAAACACTCTTTTTATTACTGATTTTGTTTCTTCTGCAGAGTGGGAAGCCCCCAGTTAAGGACATGTTCACGGATCTGAAAGATGGAAGGAAGCTTTTGGACCTTTTGGAGGGTCTGACGGGGAAACCTCTGGTAAGAGAAATACGTATAAGTTATATTCCCATTTACTGGAAGAAAAGCCCAAACCAAACAAAACCAAAAACTTCAACAAATAAACAAAACACAAACCACAAACATGCAATTTGTTATATTTATTTGTTTAAAAAAACATTTTTCTTGTAGTGTGTACTTGCTGTCTACAGTTCTAGTGAAATTCCCATGAACTCCACTCATGGGATGTAGGGTCAGGCTGAAGTTAGCTGTGTAACCCTCTCTTGAAGGGTAAAGTACTGTTTAGCAAAGGATGCAAAACCAGTGATGTTATTCACATAGTATATATTTTTAATAGAGACCTTTTAAGGGTCTGCTTGTGGATGATACGGAAGAGTAGCCTTTATCTGGATACGTGTGGACTTTTTCTCATGAGCTCATGAAAGATCCCTCAAAGAAAAAAGAAAGTAAATGTCCTGGGTTCAGTAAAAAGGACAACAGCTAGTAGGCGATACAAAAATCTGCATCCCTGTTGAAAAATCCTGTGTGACCTTACAGGTAGGAAAGGGCTGGAAGCTACTCTCAAGTCTTGTTTGGGGAAGTGCGTGTGTGAAAACTCTTCCCCTGCTAACAATGATGCCTCTTCAGATATGAGGCATGGTGAAACCTGTGCCATTGCTTGGGGTTAAACTCTTGATTTCATTATTTATAATAAATCTAAAATTCATTTATTTACCTTATGGGGGACCTTTAGCTATTTAAAATTTAACCTTGCAAGCTTGCCTTGTTTTTTAAACAGGTGCATTTCACTAGTACTTCTAGTGATTTGGGGTCTGATTGGAAGCATACTGAAGGCAACAGGATTTTCTTTTGTTTCTAATTCTGATGATTACCGTGGTCCAAGTACAGTTCCATGCTCTTTTGCAGTACAATCATTTTCTGCCACAGGAGTTAAATTGAGGTGATTAAAAGCAAATGGAGTGGCAGGTATTGTCAAGAGTTGCAGTGTGGGGTTTTTTTCCTGGTAATAAAAGGAAGGGAAAGTCAGGAAGCATAACTCCTTCTCAGTATGCAAAGATTTAGCAGGCTTTTGGTGCCAGAAAAACAAATTGCTGCTTGTTCCCTCTTGGGAGCCAAAAAATTTCAACTACTCTGGCAAGCATTCAAACCCCTCAGATTTTCCCTAGGAACTCCCATTTTGCTGTTGTATTGCCAGTTGATAATTCTGCAGATGCTGGGAATAAAAATTCTGGACTTACGGAAAATGAACTGACACACATTTTGAATCCAAGGCTTATCCCGTGCCTTGAGTTGACGAATAATGTTCTGACCATTTTTCATTTTTACATTGTTAGGTTTTTGTTCCTACTTAAAAGAAAGAATAAACTCTTGAGGAAAATCAAGACAAATTTCCTGCTTGGTCTATCGGTTTTATTTATTTATTTCTTTTTTGGCTGTCAAGTTAATTCAGATATTAACAGATTGTAACTTTTTATTTTCAGCCTAAAGAACGAGGTTCCACACGAGTACATGCCTTAAATAACGTCAACCGAGTACTGCAAGTCTTGCATCAGAATAATGTGAGCATGTTTTCGTACGACTTTATTGATAGACTCTTTAATTTATTCCTGTGTGTAAATTAGTTCAGAATTAAGAGAATCAAGATTTTTTTGGTACCTAAAATGATAAAGAATTCAGTGAGGTGGGTAAACTGGTTTCAGTTTTCTTTATCTGATGCAGAATTTGAATGTCTGGCAATTTTGTGAAATCTTGAAATGCTAACTAATTTAGTTAATGGCATTAACTAAACTGTATTTTGTTGAGATATGACTGGAAGCTCTGCTAAGCATGAACCTAGCAGGACAATAAACTGATTTCCAGTGATGATGTGTAACTTGTGCAGAAGTTTGTGAGGGTGTGAGAGGTTCTGTGTCCTGCACTCAAAATCCAGGAGGATCTTTCCATTGAAATCTGTCAGCTCCATGTCAAATTTGTACTGAGTATTTCTGACTAGGAGCTTTGGTACCTGATCAGAAGAAGAAACAAGCAAGCAAATCCCAATCCTTGAAAAATGAAAATTGTTTGGTTTACTACTTTTAAATGTTTGTACTGCCCGGAAGCCAGTAGTGCTGTAGTAAAGTGATTTTATTTTTCCCCTGAAAAACAATTCCTGATAAGCGTGTTCTCTCTAGTTAGACTTTTTATTTGCAAGTGTCGCGGCACTAAGGTAACTTAATAAGAACATTCTGGCAATAAAATACATTTGATGCAAAAACGGACTGACACATTTATGTAAACTGCTGATTGAAGAGTGATGCAAACATGCTGTATAACACTGCAATTTCCTCTCCATGTTGGTGGACTAGTGCCATATTTCTAGGAAGTAGCCAAAGTTAGTGATGGGTTGTTTGGTATTTTTCTTCTTTTAGGCACTGTAAATATTGTCTAGCTTTTTTCTAAGGATAAGTAATGAGTCTTTCCAGCATGAAATTGACTGATTTTATGAAGATAATAAATGAAATCAAATTGAATGACAATAAATAATTAGTTTTTCCTTAAGCTGGCAGGATCTGGGTTTCTAGATGTAAACAAATGGTGTCAGCTGAAGGTTGTTAAGGTCATATATGATTTATACCTACTGCTTCATTAGAAAGTGTGTGTGTTAAGATGAAGGGAAGAGACATCCACTAAGATGTAGTTCTGTTGCCTGAGAGTTTGTGGGCTATACAATATTAATAACTTGTGAAACAATTTATTAGAAGTATTTAAATATATATTGCAAGAATCAGATAAGCCTAGGGTGTAGATGTTCAAGTGATCCCATGAACCTCATCCATCTGATGAGCAGAATGGTTCTAAGTAATTTGGCATTTTGCTACCCATTCTTAGGAGAGTTTTTCTCCTATTACAGGTGAAAAAAGCTCTTGCGATGGAATTATTTGATTTTTGTGCCCTTGACCTTTAGTCTTGGTCTTGCTTTCTGCTCCTTTGTGTTCTGGAGTGCTTCCCAGTGTCTTTAATGATATGCACTGGTGATTCTTTTGGCCTGTTTTTGCCACTTTACCATACAGTTTTCTTAAAATATGCATCCAGTACTTGCAAAGAGTATTGCTGCAAGATTCTGTTCCAGCTGCTGTAAAACTGGAAGAGGACAATCCACAAGCTTCTGTAGTATGTCAAAGTGTAATCTGTGGTTCTGTGTTAATTTTGCAACACAGTTTTAGTTTGATTCTCCTAACCAAGAGACCTATAGGGAACTGAAATAGTCAAGATGATATCTGAAAGCAATGAGGTTACAAGTACATTTTGCAAAATTGAAGCTGTTTGTGATTGTGTGATAAGAGGAAAAAATATGCATGGAATACCATTATACTCGTGTATGTCAGCAATATCCTCTAAAACAAAATGAAATTTTATTCTTGTCTATTCTGTCACTGTAGTCTACATCCACTGAAAGCCAGAGTATGGGCTTGTCTGTGACTGTCCTTGTGGCTGTCCCTGTTGTCTAATTGCCAGCCACCTCCCTGGTGCAGGTTTTATCTCTATGACCAGTTCTTATCCCAAGCGATGTGCAGATACAGTTCTTGGTGTAAGCTGGGCGGTGTTCCTGGTAGGTACTGTGAATAACAGTTTTGAAAGAGAGGTGAGAAAGGGAGAAAAAAGCTTCCCCATCAAAGTGAAATGCTCTGTGTTCTTTGCCCCTCGTGCTGGAGATGCTTCTGGCTCCAGACTGTTTACAAGAACGAAGCCCCACCATCTGCCCTGTGTGGGAGTGCGTTGCAGCATCTGCTATATGTGTACATATACCCAGGGAAGTATCTACATCTTCTGCTGTATGCAGCTTGTCCCTAGCCCAGTTTGCGGAGGCATGGTGATGACTATTGCAGTGCCCTGCTGTTGGCTGCTTCAAAAGGTGCTTTAGAGTTAGTGCTGCTTTCTCTGTGTTGGCTGAATCAAAACTCGATGTCCCAGTTCAGTTTAGACTCTAAAGCAGCACCAAGTGAGTAGTGTGGTAGTGTAGCTAAGCTTTGCTGCTTCTGAGGGCTGAGTGCCTGATGCAGAAGAAGGTAGCCTCTCCCGTCCTCTCACTTACTAAAGTGATTTCCTTGTCTCCCTGTGGTTTTATGTTTTTAATGATCATCATCAAGTCTTTGTGGGGTCCTATGCCAATAGGAAGCTTAAAAAAAATATTTTTTCCCTTGAGCTTTTGGTCTCCTTGTATAAACTTGTCCTATTTAGGTGCTGGTTCATGCAAAGGACAAACCTATTCTTAATTACAGTTTTCATGGTTCTCTAATGTCTCTGAGTGTGTTTAGGAGCAGGACTGCTTAACTGTGGGTTTGGTTTTTTTTTTTTTTCCCTTTAATATCAGATCCTTAGTGTTTGCATTTCTACTGATCATTTTTGAATGCTGATAGACATCTGTATATTAGAAGGGAGGATAAAACTCTTCCAATAAAGTATCTTCTTTGGTGCTATCTTTTGTCATGTTGTTTAAGTAGTGACAAATTCAAATACGTTTGTCTTTGAAAAGTACTTTTCAAGTACTTGTGTCATCTCCAGTTCCCTCTTTCTAACTACGTTGTATTTAAGAGCACTTTATAATACATGGCAGGACAGGCAGGAGTGGGGTTGTGACTTGAATCTGTGATAACAGTGTTTAATATAGAATTGATCTGACCTCTCCAGGTGGAGCTGGTGAATATTGGAGGAACTGACATTGTTGATGGAAATCACAAGCTGACACTGGGGCTGCTCTGGAGCATTATCTTGCACTGGCAGGTGAGAGGCTGCTGAGAGATCTCTTCCTTTCCAGGAATTGTGCACATTGATCTACTGGGATTCTAACAAACCTTCCCAGGGTTGTGGTGGTGGAAAATACTGCTTCTATTTTGGTCTGGTAAATAAAGGCAGGCCAGTGTTTAGTTTCTGATCTCTGTCTATTGGCTGCCTCCTGTGATATGTATTCTTGTATGTGCTCAGTTGTACTCAGTCTCTCAGTTTAGTTCCTGCTGGTGTTTAATTACAGAGAGGGTTTTCAGGCTGAAGCATTGTATTTATATTCCTTCCTCAAGGCTTTTATGTGCTTCTGTTAACCGGTGTTGTTTTACTGTCTAGGTAGCTGTGTTGGACTTGCATCTTACATGCTGCTTTATAGGTTTGTTATTCAGTCTTATAGGTTGAATTTTGATCCTGTGAGGATCACTTAATCGACTTGGAGGGAATTCGGCAGATGCTTATGCATAGTACCCAAACAGCAAACTAGTTTTGTTAGCTGGGCAGGTAGCATCATCTTGCAGAAAACCTCTGCAAGCTGTATTTCGGGGGTTTGCTTACTGATAGAACTGTAGCACGAGACAGTGAGAAATACTAAACCTCATGCTTAGTGAAGGCAGAACTGGGGAGCAGGGGAGGATTGTAACCTAAGAGTGATGTGTCATTATTGCATGAAGCATTACTGGTTCTTGTAATCAGTGGAGGGCAGAAATGGCCTGGAGACTCCTGTTCCCACATTTCACATGAGGAGTTAGAATTTGATTCGTAGCTTTTAATAGGAAAGATACTTTCGTGATTCGTGAGTAGCTTGGTTGAAAGGCTTTGTAAACAGGGAAGTGGAGAATGTGGCTGTAAGGTATAGTTGCTGCTTTCTTGCAGGTGAAGGATGTCATGAAGAACATCATGTCAGATTTGCAGCAGACCAACAGCGAGAAGATCCTGCTGAGCTGGGTTCGGCAGTCAACAAGACCTTACAGTCAGGTCAATGTTCTAAACTTCACAACAAGCTGGGCAGATGGTCTCGCCTTTAATGCTGTCATTCACAGACACAAGTAAGTAGCAAACAATTTATCTTAGACCTAGA